TAAAGATAAGTAGAACACACCCCTGGAACAGGGCTGGTATATCTTTTGTGAAGCTGATCACATCAGTGGTGGGTTTCAAATTTTTTTACTACCGGTTCTGTGAGTGTGGCTTGGTGGGTGTGGCTTGGTGGGCGTGGCAGGGGAAGGATACTGCAAAATCCCCATTTCCTCCCGATCAGCTGGGACTCGGGAGGCAGAGAATAGATGGAAGCGGGGCCAAGTCCAGAAGAAAAGCAAAATTAAGCTTTTCTTTTATTCCTCCAATGACTCTTCTTTTTCCTTTTTTCGAAGAGAGTTCCTCAGTCGTTAATGGCAGCGCCAGAGCTAACGCACTGGTTGTTTACCCGCCCGTTGCCTTGATCCTTTCCAATTAATTGAGTCCATGATTAAATAAAGCGTGAGTCATATCTTGGTTAGTTGTGTTTTTTTTTTTAAGGCTGAAGGTTTCAGAGAGCTCAGGCCTCCCTTCCTCAATAAATCCCTTTCTCAAACTCTGTTTTTGAGACGTTGAAATGTTTCCATCGCGACAACTAATTCAAGTTTCTTTCAAATTATTTTCATAAGTAATAAAACAATTTGTTTTTTATTGGAGCCTGTCAAGAGTCGGCACTGGGTTTATTTTGAAAGAAACCAGCAATGACTGAGGGTTGGAACGCCATTAAGGACGTTTCTGGATGGTTCCCAAAAGGCTTCACGCAACCACAGTCAAAACAGAGTTTATGGCTTCAGGTTGTATAGACACATTTACACAATTAAAACATAAATTAAGAGTAGAAGCAGAGGAGAAGAGGGCCTTACACCAGAAGCGAATGAAATGTTTCATTCCCCTGCCGTCCCCTTGACTTCTGCCCAATGCAACACCCTTCTTGGCAAACTGGCGAGGGAGTTGCAGTCACACAATACAACTTGGGTTCGCCTGGATTCTGCCCCATGGCAAAGGGCATGCAGGGAGGAGATGGCTCCTGGAGGAAAGCTCTAGAAGTAAGCTCACAAAGACCTCTTTTACTCAATGGGACTTCTTCTTCTTGTGCCCTATCCATCATCGGACATTGGCCATCATACTGGCGATTCTATTTTTATCAACAGCCGCACGAAAAAGTGCTGCTGAGTTTTGTCCAAACCATGGATAAAAGAGCTGGAGAAGCTTCTTGGATGAGAAGCGAAACATCATTAAAGAAAAACTAGAAAGTCCAGTTGCCTCTTGAAAAGGAAATGACAGGGGAAAAAATTGCTATGAAACCCAAACTATTTTTATTGGGAATTATAAAAGAGAAGATTAGGAAAAAAAATTATTACCTTATACTTCACAGAATTACAGCAGCCAGAATTTCATTTGCACAAAATTGGAAACACAGATTTGCCCAACAAATATGATGATCATAAAAAAGGTGCTAGAATGTGCAGAAGCAGATAAATTAACAATGGAACTAAAAGACCGAGAGGAAACAATTTATTATGAGACATGGAATAGATGGTATAACTGGTTGGAGAAAGAATCCAAAATTAATGTATAAATGTATAAACGTAAGAGAAGATATTCAGGGGTGAAATGCTCCCGGTTCGGACTGGATCGCCCAATCCGGTAGCGATGGAGGCGGGTGGTTCGGAGAACCTGTAGCAAAAATCCCTGCGCCCCATGCCCAGCTGAGCCGCGCAATCATCAGAGGCTGGTTTTTTTACTTTTAAAAGCATTTTTTCTACCACCTCTTCGCCCAAAAAATGCTTTTAAAAGTAAAAAAAAAAAAAGCCTCTGATGATCGGGCGGCTCAGCTGGGATCGTCAAAGGCTTTTAAAAGAAAAAAAACAGTTTTTTCTTTTAAATGCCTCTGACGATCCAAGCTGAGTTGCCTGATTGGCAGAGGCTTTTAAAAAAATCTCTGCCGATCAGGCAACTCAGCTGGGATCGTCAGAGCCTTTTGAAAGCATTTTTTTACAACCTCTTCGCTGAAGAGGTTGTAGAAAAAATGGTTTTAAAAGTTTTAAAAAAAAATTGGCCACGCCTACCCAGTCACATTACCCCACCACCACCACCAAGCCACGCCCACAGAACCGGTAGTAACAAATTTTAGATTTTACCACTGAAGATATTAGAGAGGAGCGAAATAGTTATTGTGCAATAGATAGGTATAAATTGTAGTGAATATAGAAATTAGTAAGTAATATATAAAATGTATGTGTATATAGTTGATTAAAAGATAAAATAGATATTATCAAAGATGCCGGTATCGGAAAGCTGTAAAAATGTAACAATGGTTGTTACAGATGTAAATGTTGAATAAAAATTATTTTAATAAAAAAGAAAAAACACTTTTGGGACAGCCATGACCTGGATGACTGAGACTCTCCGTAGACATTTGCCTAATAAATACCTTACAAATCAAGTGGAATATTGACATTAAACTCCATCGCCCCTCCCCCCGCCCCCCGGAGCTGAGGTTCTGCCAATAAAAGTCATGGTGAATGAAGTAAAGAACAGTAAATAATCAATAAACAGAAGTGTTTATCCTCCAACTGCCAAAGAATAACACTGGGACTAATTCTTCTTCATTAAGACTCCTTTGGGAAAGAAAGTCAGTGACTAATTGCCGTCCAGCCATTAAATGTTAATTAAACAGCAATAAGAGGAATCTATTTAGTGGCAGGCCATTACGAACTGCTACTGAAGACAATTTCTCTTTTCAGAGCCGAGCAGATCCTGGATTGTAACTTAGGAAACACTGTAGATGTGTAAACATCCATTTTCAACAAAGAGAAGTCCTGCTTTTGAGCCTCAGAGATTTGGATTGGTTTGTTCTTAAAACCTTTATTGGCCGACTATCCCCCAGATGATTTTGCCACGGGCTCCCCATGGAATCACAGCTCAGTAACTTAGGGATGTGCATGTCATACAAAAACCCAAACTGCATTTTGAAAAATAGCATCAGCCAGTGAAAATTCGGTTAGAGGAAGGATCGAAACGGTAGCGAGGTTTCTACGCCCATGACTTCGGTTATGTTATCACAGGTTTTCTCCTTCGCTCAAGGGGGAACAAAAAAAGCACAAAAGGATAAGTTTTAATAGGAGAGAATATACCCTACGTAGCTCAGAGTTGAAGCGAAGAATTGTTGGCCGAGGTTGGTTGCTTGCAGATGTTTCATTATCCAACTAGAGCAGGGGTCTCCAACCTTGGCCACTTTAAGGCTTGTGGACTTCAAATCCCAGAGTTCCTCAGCCACTTTGGCTGAGGAACTCTGGGATTTGAAGTCCACAAGCCTTAAAGTGGCCAAGTTTGGAGACCCCTGAACTAGAGAACATCAACTAGCTAACATCGATGTCTGATTCTTGACTAAAAGAATCTGGCTTGTTTTGGCGAGATACCCAGAGGTTTCTGTCTGCGCATGGGACAAACCAAATCGCAGGCACAGCCCCTCAATCTGCATGATTCCACCACATCAGATTGTCACAATAAGATCACTTTCAAGAGCTTTTTATGAATTAGCAGCGTAAGGTAGATCAAAAACTCTCCCCTATCCCTTTTGGGGAGGAGTTATCAGGGTTCCAAGTAACATACTCATATCAAACAAAACTCTGAGGCAGGCAATTTCCTCAAATAGGTTTATGGGATGTGTCATATTGGCACAGGCTGGTGGAAAACCAACTCTGAATATTCCCGCGGTTTTCCACCTAATTAAAAGTGAAAGTTTGTCACTTTCTCAAAAAAAAATCAGTGACATGGTCCAAACAGGATACTGTCCAGTTGCTAGGTTACCCCAGTCCCCTCCTTCCGAGCACCTGCAGGAATGTCCTTGGTTCCCATGAGAAAGAATTTTGTTTTGGTTACAACTATCCCAACTATAAAAAGGGAAGCGGTGGCTCAGTGGCTAAGACGCTGAGCTAGTCGATCGAAAGGTCGGCAGTTCGAATCCCTAGTGCTGCGTAACGGGGTGAGCTCCCGTTCTTTGTCCCAGCTTCTGCCAGCCTAGCAGTTCGAAAGCACGTAAAAAATGCAAGTAGAAAAATAGGAGCCACCTTTGGTGGGACGGTAACAGCGTTTCGTGCGCCTTTGGCGTTTAGTCATTCCGGCCACATGACCACGGAGACGTCTTCAGACAGCGCTGGCTGTTCGGCTTTGAAACGGAGATGAGCAGCACCCCCTAGAGTCGGGAACGACTAGCACCTATGTTCGAGGGGAACCTTTACCTTTACTTTATCCCAACTATCTTTATTCCCCCCTCCCTATCCCTCTTCTCTGGTGTGTCAGCACTGAAATTTCAAAATGGCCTCAGTCAGGCCAGCTTCAGGGTTGACAAGGAGGCTTGCTTGCCAGGGGCCTCTGTGGCTGGATCAAATTAAAGCTGGGTGGTGTGACTGCATCATCATTTGGCTATCCTGTCCATCAGTCAACTATCATTTCTGGACCTGACACATACCAAGAGAATCTGCAACCCAACATTTGTTACCTTTTGATTCACACATGTTAAGCCAGATTTATCAGGAAAAAAATCCAGGAGATAAATTTCAGAATGTAGTAAATTTTTTTTAACCTTACTACAGGTTTTTGGTGTACAGGTAATCCTCGATTTACCACAGTTCGTTTAGTGACTGTTCGACATTACAATGGCACTGAATAAAGTGACTTATGACCATTTTTCATACTTATGACCGTTGAAACATCCCCATGACAAATTCATCAAAATTCAGATGCTTGGGTCATGTGATCATCTTTTGAGACTTTCTGACAAGCAAAGTCAATGGGACAGCCACTTAATAACAACTGCAGTGATTCACTGAAGAAACATGGCAAGGAAAGTTGTAAAATGGGGCAAAACTCACTTAACAAATGTCTCACTTAGCGACATAAATTCCGGGCTCCATTGTGGTCGTAAATCGAGGACTACCCATTATTTAGCAGATGAGGGAACCAAGCCTTCTTTTTAGAATCCAGAAAAAGGTTAAATCTAAATCTATCATCAGCTGAAGATCTGAAGAGCCCAAAGCAAGGAGCCTCTCTATGCTCTCACCTGGAAGAGGATCTGAAGAATGCCATGGGCCATGCACATGCGCCGCCCTAGGAAGACAAAGAAGGGCACAACCAGCTCAATGAAATGGTTGAAGAGGGTCTCAAATGCATGGAACCACCAAGGCGTCCGATGCATGAAATAGGCCACAGGATTGGGAACAGGCTGGGTCTGGAAGAGAGAAAACAAGAAGTTAGCAATAGCAAAAGTATTTAGACTTCTATACCGCTTCACACTGCCTTTACAGCCCTCTCCAAGCCGTTTACAGAGTCAGCCTATTTTCCCCCAATAATCTGGGTCCTCATTTTACCCACCTCGGAAGGATGGAAGGCTGAGTCAACCTTGAGCTGGTCAGGATCAAACTGCTGGCAGTCAGCAGAGTTAGTCTGCAATAACCACTGGAAGGCGAAGGAAGGAAGGGCAATAGCACTTAGACTTAACCGCTTCACAGTGCTTTACAGCCCTCTCTAAGAGGTTTACAGAGTCAGCATTTCGTACCCAACAATTTATCCACCGGTCAGGATCGAACTGCTGGCAACGGGCAGTCAGCCTGGAATACTGCATTCTAACCACTGAACAACCACGGAGAGACAGAGAGAGAGAGATAGGGAGGTAGGGAGATAGGTAAGATAGATAGACAGATAAGATAGATCGAGAGATGATAGATCAGTGTTTCTCAACCTTGGTAGCTTGAAGATGGGTGGACTTCAACTCCCAGAATCCCCCAGCCAGCAGCGCTGGCTGGGGGATTCTGGGAGTTGAAGTCCACCCATCTTCAAGCTACCAAGGTTGAGAAACACTGTGATAGATAAAGAGATGCTAGAGAGATAAATAGCAATAGTACTTAGACTTATATAGCGCTTCATAGTGCTTTTACAGCTCTCTTCAAGTGGTTTATAGAGTCAGCCTCTTGCCCCCAACAATCTGGGTCCTCATTTGACCCACCTCGGAAAGGATGGAAGGATGAGTCAACCGTTAAAAGTCTTGCTTAGCAACATCAATTTTGGGCTCGATTATGGTCCTAAATCGACAAAGAAACAGAGAGACAAGCAGCAGAGAAACGGGAGCCAAATAACAAAGGCTGAGGCTGTAGGCAATTTTAGCGCATCGAACACAAATTATACTTCTAAACTTTTTTTCCAATCTTCTGACAGCAAAGCAAAAGTAGGTTGAAAAGACCAATGATAATTGGAAGAGACGCAGCACATCTTTAAACGGTTTGCAGCAGAAAGGCGGGGGGGGGGAAGAAAAGCAGAAACAACGCGAGGGAAGAGCGTGCGCAAGAGGAACGGCTTCCCCTCCCTCTCCCGAACACTGGAACTAATGCAGCGCCTTTATTAGCATAGCTGGAATTAATCATCTTGTTGCTTTCTATTGGTTTTGGGCTGGATGGAATTCCCTCGGGACAAAAGACCGCATCCTTCCTTCCGCTGACAGAGGGGCAGGACGGAACAAGCTGAAGGATCATGGAGCACTGCCGAGGCCTTGCACTCGGGGTCAGGGACAGGGGCTGCCGGCCCCCCCACTCCCAGCCCCGACGTGGACTGGTTTGAGTTAGCCTCTGAGGGCGGCTGGGCCAAAGTGTGTGTGTGAGAGAGAGAGGGGTGGGGAGAGAGAGAAAGAAAGAGAAAGAGTGAGAGAAAGAAAGAAAAAAAGAAGAGAGAGAGAGAGAAAGTGAGAGAGGGAGGGAGGAGGGAGGGAGAGAGAGAGAAGGAGAAAATGAGAAAGAAAGAGAGAGAGAGAGAAAGAGAAAGTGAGAGAAAGAAAGAAAGAAAGGGAGGGAGAGGGAGGGAGGGAGAGCAAGAGAGAAAAATGAGAAAGATAGAAAGAGAGAGAGAGAGAAAGAGAGAGAGGGAGGGAAAGAGAGAGACAAAGTGAGAGAAAGTGAGAGAAAGAAAAAAAGAAAGAGAAAGGGAGGGAGGGAGGGAGAGTGAGTGAGTGAGGAGGGAGAGCGAGAGAAAAATGAGAAAGAGAGAAAGAGAGAGAGAGAGAAAGAGAGAGTGAGAAAAAGAAAGAAAAAAGAAAGAGAGAGCAAGAGAGCAAGAGAAAATGAGAAAGAGAGAGAGAGAGAGAGAGATAGGGAAAGAGGGAGAGAGAGGGAGGAGGGAGGGGGAGAGGGGGAGAGGGGGAGAGAGAGAAAGAGAGAGAGAGAAAGACAAAATATGTGGGCTTGGTGCTGCTTTACTCAAAGCACAGAAAGGATACACAGAAGATGCACCCAACCAATAAGGAGAAAATACATTCTAAATTACCCGGAGCTCAGCCAATGTGTTTCTTTCTCTTCCCAAATCACTTGTGTTTTTGCTCTAATGTGACAGCCCCTCAAGTAGTAGAAGATAATTGTCACCCCTAATCCTACTCTTTGTTAGACTAGACATAACCTAGTTCTGTCAACTGTTCATCATACCATTTAGTCTCCAGCCCAGAGTCTTAGCATCTTCTTTGGTCAAGGCCAAAACTGAAGACGGTATTCCAAGCATGGTTTTACCGAAGAAGCACAAAGCAGCCTTAAGACTTCACATGATCTTGATGGAGGGGTGAAAGGCTACCGGTTCGGGAAAACCGGTAGTAAAAAAAAAGCTACCGGTTCCTCTGAACCGGTATTTCCAACAATCAGCTGTGCAGCAGGGTTTAGCTTTGCTAGAAAGCAGGACAGCTGATCCTCCCCCCTCGCTTCTACTTACCTTCCCAAGCCTCCTTTTGGTGCGCACTGCCCATGCTGCATGCATTTAGCACATGGCATGAAGGCGTGGCCAGTGAACCGGTAGCAAACCGGTTCGGATTTTACCACTGTGTTGACGCTATCCCTCCATTGACTGGCCTTGTTGGCAGCTGCCGCACACTGCTGGCCTGTACTTAAGTGATGGTCCACTAGGACACCTCTTAAACTATTATAGGATTGAATAACCGAGTTGGAAGGGACCTTGGAGGTCTTCTAGTCCAACCCCCTGCTTAGGCAGGAAACCCTACACCACTTCAGACAAATGGTTATCCACCATCTTCTTAAAAACTTCCAGTGTTGGAGGATTCACAACTTCTGGAGGCAAGTTGTTCCACTAATTAATTGTTCTAACTATCAGGAATTTTCTCCTTAGTTCTAGGTCGCTTCTCTCCTTGATTAGTTTCCATCCATTGCTTCTTGTCCTGCCCTCTGGTGCTTTGGAGAATAGATTGACCCCCTCTTCTTTGTGGCAGCCCCTGAGATATTGGAACACTGCTATGCTGTCACCCCTGGTCCTTCTAAACTAGACATACCCAGTTCCAGCAACTGTTCTTCATATGTTTTAGCCTCCAGTCCCCTAATCCTCATTGAAGGATAGTGGGGAAGGAATCTGCAAGGAATACAAATCCTTGCATTCCCCACTATCCTGTCAGAACTTTGTTTTTGGAAGACATTTTGCTTCTCATCCAAGAAGCTTCTTTAGCTCTGACAGGATAGTGGGGAATGGAAGGATTTTTATTCCTTGCAGATTCCTTCCCCACTATCTTCACCTGTCAGAGCTGAAGAAGCTTCTTGGATGAGAAGCAAAACGTCTTCAAAGAAGAAAAGCAAGAAAGTCCAGTTGCCTCCTGAAAAAACACCTTTGGGACAACCATGACCTGGATGGTTGAGAATCTCTACAGACTTTTAACCATGTCTAATGCCACTGAAGTATTTGAGACAGCATATTTTAACATGCAAAAGGAATGTTAACATGCAATTTACCTTATTTGCAGTGATTTGCATCATTTACATACTGGCATTGCACAAATGATGCCATTAATAGAAATGATACCAATTTGTAACTTAATTTAAGAATAGAACTTATTCCCCTGTTGTGTCTATTAAATCAAGATTTCCCTGTGTCTGGACTGAACCTTAATGGAGTAATTGAGGGTGTTTCAGCCAGCATGACTCAGTCCATGCTGGAACTAAAAGAATTACCAACAACATGGAACTTGGAATGGAAGATCTTGGTAACTGAGAGAGCCTCCCCCCAATTCTTCCCACACCACAGGCTGATTTTCTTGCAGTGCCCCATGATGGGCCTCCCCAGTGTTCCCCCCTTATCGGGAAGATTTCAGAGGGTGCTGCAATATGGCTCCCATTAAGCCTTGAATGTCAAGAAAACCATATACATGATTAGCATCTAGATCAAGTAGGAGCTATAGAAAACAGTGTTCCCACAGTCCCAGATGTTGCCAAAACAGGAACAGCAGTGTTTCCCATGGCTCATTCTCTTCCCCATATGCAGTGGTGAAAGATAGGTGGGTGGGAGGGAAGGAGGGCAGGGGTACTGTGGAGTGGAGTGGAGTGGAGTGGAGTGGAGTGGAGTGGAGTGGAGTGGAGTGGAGTGGAGTGGAATGGAGGAATGGAATGGAATGGAATAGAATAGAATAGAATAGAATAGAATAGAATAGAATAGAATAGAATAGAATAGAATAGAATAGAATAGAATAGAATAGAATAGAATGCAATGCAATGGAATAGTGGCATGGCATGGAATGGAATAGTGGCATGGAGTGGAGTGGAGAGTGGAGTGGAGTGGAGTGGAGTGGAGTGGAGTGGAGTGGAGTGGAATGGAATGGAATGGAATGGAATGGAATAGAATAGCATAGAACAGAATAGAATGCAATGCAATGCAATGCAATGCAATGCAACAGAATAGTGGCGTGGCATGGAATGGAATAGTGGCATGGAGTGGAGTGGGGAGTGGAGAGTGGAGTGGAATGGAGTGGAATGGAATGGAATGGAATGGAATAGAATAGAATAGAATAGAATAGAATAGAATAGAATAGAATAGAATGTGCATTTAAAATAGTGATGATACCTTGGGTTTAAAATCATCAACAATAAGTACATCTTTACTGGATAATTCTACTGTACGCTCACTTGATTTTGAATATGGGAATGTGCTTGAATGTCATCAAAGTTTCATACAATCTGAAGGTTGTACAGAATCTGAATTACTTCCCTACTTCTATGACAAGCTCATGAACAGAGCATAGCTACCTCCAAAACCTTGGGTGTAGATCCTACATCCCCGTCACAACCTAAAAGGATCACTTTGATTCCACAGCCATAATTAAATTCCACTGTGGCCAGGATTGAATTTGCATCCTAGCCAATTTCTATAAATTGTTTTATGAGCATGTATGTTTGTGATTGTGAGAGACATTTAAGACACATG